CGTATCATGCTGCGTTCAGCGAAGCATTTTATTAATGTTTTGAATGAAGATCAACTTACTTACCTACATAAAAACCAGGTATATCCTGAATTATACATGTATCACCTTCTACGTGCCAATTTTCAATCTATGTTTAAAGTCTTGTAACAAAGAACTACCGTTCAGAAGCCAAGTACTACTAAAAATAACCCCTGGTTTTCTGGAAATCTTAAATTAGTATACTATGGAACCCATTAATCCTCAATTTTTAATGCAAATTCATAGACAAGTGAATTATAGCTCAAAGTGGTCTAAATATATTTCTCTTTCGCCAAAAGTTTCATTTCTGCAAATTTTTTTGTTAGTTTAAGTAAACATGATGACATCAAAAGCACTATTTTTTGTCAGGGAAGGGCTGCTTTTACATACGTTCTAAATTAGAGTGGGTGAATTGGTGGTCTGACACCTCAAAACAACAACCTATTTTAAAAAAAGTAAAAGTATTACACATTAGTTTCATTTATTATCTATCTATCTATCAATTTTTTTATCTTATGTTGTGGTTGTCTCCCTGCAATGTGCCCATAATGTGCTTTTGCAGGTGGTGTTATGGTATAAGATATGAATGCCAGGAGACATATTGGTATACCTAAACCAACATAAAAATGGACATTTAGTTTGAATAAAAGGAGATGTTGGGTATACATCAATGAGATAGCAACCCAAAGACATCTAGAGGACAGCATACAGTCTTAAACAATGGACAGGTGTCCATACAATATACAAGCTCAAATCATTCGAAGTTGATTTAAGAAGTTGTGAATAGAATAACAGAAACAATCAAAGATCTGCCATTAACAACCAATTTTACAATAATCAAAAATATTATACAATTATTGACTTTTGATGAGGTTGATACAATTATTTACAAACCCCAGAGATATGATATTCACTGAGGCCAACGGGGTTGATAAATCATTGTACCAACTGAAATCAAGAGTCAACAATTAGTTGACACAATTTGTAATGCATTTTTGTTATTCAATGTTTACTTATTTTGTGTTATATCTCGTCTCACTATTTTTAATATGTACCACCTTTGATAAGTATTTAGAATGACGATAAATTTTCACTTCTGTACTTGTACTGTGAACAACAAATTTATTTATTTGGAAAAAAAATTTCCGTACTCTTAATAACAAAATTATTATATTTAAATTTACCTGTGTACCTTATTTTATTTAACACCATTTTGTCCCAAGTTAGAGTTGTCTTTCTGACATTGTTCTACAACTTTTTTATTAATATTGTAATTATATTGTGTCATAGATCAAACTTATTCATTCAGTGTATGTTTACCTGTTTTTGTTAATATGTCTTTTTGATCAAGTTAAGCCATTTCAATTGATATTTTATAGTGTTTCTTTTTATGTTGTAATGTTACACTACTGTTTCAGGTTAGAGTGAAGGTTGGCGCCTGTTAAAACATTTAAACTCGCTGCATTTGTATGCACCTGTCCTAAGTCAGGAGCCTGTTGTTCAGTGGTTGTCATTTGTTGATGTGGTTCATAAGTGTTTCTTGTTTCTCGTTTTTATATAGATTAGATCGTTGGTTTTCCTGTTTGAATTGTTTTACACTAGTCATTTTGGGGCCCTTTATTAAAAGCTTGCTGTCCGGTGTGAGCCAAGGCTCTGTGTTGAAGGCCGTACTTTGACCTATAATTGTTTACTTTTTACACATTGTGACTTGGATGGAGAGTTGTCTCATTGGCACTCATACCACATCTTCTTATTTATATAATTGTTTTATTATATGACTTTTTATCCTTCTCCAATTTCTAGTATTTACTCAAGATACTTTTAAAACTGCTTCCTGTTTTTACACTAAATATATCATCTGCTTTTGCATTTGCTAATTTTCATAAGTTGAAACATTCAATAAAGTTTATTAAAAAAATATACACCGAAAACAAGAAGTAAAGAAAAAAAAAGGGAATTTACTTGACGTCATAAACCTAAGTCATTGACATAGCCTTGGAATATCTATATTAAGGTACTCAGACGCTGTTCCAAATCTTATATTAACCTCACGTGATTTTTGTCTTGTTGAATATTATACAATTACTGTCTTTTGATGAGGTAAATATGTGGTTTTATTGACTTTTGAAAAACTGATATTGAAAACTGATATCGAAGTGAATATCAGTTTTTCAAAAGTCAATTAAACCACATATTTACCAAAACAAAAGACAGTAATAGTTTTATTCCATATTCTGAGAGAGTACCAAGAGAAATTTATATAATGACAATTATTTACCAAAACCAATTGTACATCAAATGATTATAACATAAGGTAAAAGCACGCGACGTTTTGCGCGGTGAATATACTTTTTCCGCAGGTGAATATGCTTATTTATTCAAAATCCAATTCATATAGAAAAACCTACTAAGGTTCTATCAATATGGAATAAAATGTTTTATCAAAGAGGATTACCTATGCTTTTAGCAAATGAGAAAACAGAAAAATTAAAGTCTTATTATAATACAAGTTAACGCACCTCGTGTAAACTTAGTGACGTTGTGATTGGTTTACCGTTGTTAAAGGGTGACCCCTTGTGGATCCATAGGGGGCAGTAGATTTCATAGGGGTATCATGAATTAAAGTCATGACTGCTATTTATGTTATTGCATTTCATTGTTTATTTTTATACAAAACTTAGCAGGAAAAGTCCTGTGTGCAATAAATTTGTTATACAATTTGTTTAGCTGACCCCCTTCAGATCCATAGAGGGTTAGTTAATCCATAGGGGATTCGGCCTTGGGCCTCACCCCCTATAGATTTTACTAACCTTTCATGTATCTTTAGGGGGTCAGTAGCAAACCATATAATTCATGATGGCATATGACAATTATTGGTGAGGTTCCTGACTTGGGACAGGTGTATGAATATGTGGCAATTTACACTTAAGTTTTTGAGATCTCAACTCTCTCCCTTTTTAAAGTTCAGGCAGAAGATTATAACAAAACATACATAAAAAAACATACCGGTACCCTAAAAACCAGCTTTGGAAATAACTGTATGTGGCTTGACTATTTAGACTGCTGTGTAGACTTGAGATACATGGGACATTCTGGACCAAAAGCTTTTGCAAGAATCTGTCCTTGCAATATTTCCACATGTCTTTCAAGGTAAAGCAAGAATGATAATTTGAAAGGCTGTCAGACTAATGTGATGTAGAACTAATGTATGTCAGATAAATTTGGCAACTATGTAACCATAATTTGTGCACCCTTTTATATTTAAGGGGATGATTTCACCATAAACTCTGTCAAATATAATGCATTCACATATTTCAACTTTTCCTTATCCACATGCTTTGAACTTATTATTATGCACTGAACGACAAGTCCTTAATTTGGACATATTGTTACCCAAGGTGTTTTGTTTATGGTGGTAAACATAATTATTCATTTCAGTGTACAGAAAAGTACACTAATTATACTCATGATAATTTTAGACTTTGAATGTACGCGCAGTTCGTTGTGTCCTGTGCTGTCGTTAATTCATGGTAGATGTCCGTTGTTATTCTGCAGTTTACATGTTGTAATGTACTATTATATTATTTATTTATGTATTTCTCTGTCCTGAGTGTTCTTGCGTTTATTTGTACTGTATTCCTGTCACGTAATGTTGTCATTTTAGCAGTATTTTTAACACTGCCATATAAGCAGGAGGTTTGGCTAGCCATAAAACCAGGTTCAACCCACAATTTTTTTTTTAAAATGTCCTGTACCAAGTCAGGAATATGGCAGTTGTTATCAAATAGTCCATTTCTATGTATGTTGGCGTTTGTTTTTGCTGCAGTGCAGTGTTCTGTTGTTCCGTTGTTTTCCTCTTATAGTTGATATGTTTCCCCCGGTTTTAGTTTGTAACCCGGATTTGTTTAATCGCTCAATCAATTTATGACTATTGAACAGCGATATACTGCTGTTGCCTTTATTCAAAAATGTCACCAGAAGAAATGTCTGAGTAGCTCAAAGTGGTTCCACTTTAGGTCAAAGTATGGTAAATGTTTTATGTCGAAGATTTTGGTAAAATTTTGTGTACCACTTCAGCATTTCCTTTCTAATGATAAAAAAAGATCCCTGACTTTGATTTTTTCTGTAATTTGCATCTGTCAAATGCTGTTCTTGCTGAAAAAAGTACCACAAAACTTCAAAATAAGAGTTAATATAAAAATAAGAAGATGTGGTATGATTGCCAATAGACAATTCTCCCCCAGAGACCACATGACATAGAAGTTTACAACTATAGGTCACTGTACGGCCTTCAACAATGAGCAAAACCCACACCACATAGTCAGCTATAAAAGGTCCCAAAATGACAAATGTAAAACAATTCAAACAAGAAAACTAATGGCTTGATTTATGTACAAAATTATGAACGAAAAACAAATATGATATACAGTAACAAACGACAACCATAGCTAGATCATGAATTACAGGCTCCTGACTTTGGACAGACGCATACAGAATGTGGCAAGGAGAAACTAGTTTGAAGGCGCCAACCCTACCCTTACCTGGGTTAAAAGTATGAGTCATTAAACCTCATGGCATGTATATATATCCCTTTCAGTCCTTGAAAAGAGATCTTCAAACATAAATTAACTGCTGCTTTTAAAAAAATATTGTAAACTAATGATTTAGTGTAATTATTCACTTTGTGGATGTTCAAGTCAGATTGGCTTTATCACAGCACAGATGATGCTTTGATTTGCTATCATATATTTTATAATTTACCAGATGAGCACGTTTGGTTGTTTAGGGAGTCTCTAGTTTAATTTATTTATTATTGTAAAGTCACTCAACATAGGACAAGAATGGGTAATGGATAGTAGTTTACACATTTACGAGTAAGCATGATCAACTTTAATTTAGCTATAACTTTTCCTTTAAAACTTTCTTTTTAAAATTTTTATTCTATTGTTTAATCAGTGTATATAATATTCATTACATTTCAGAATCAGATGAAGACTCAAGTACAACAACAGAGATGTCAGATACCGTGTCAGGTGGGTTGCATTGTTAATGAACTAATTAGAAGAGATTATATGATTGTAATTGTTTTTTAGTCCAGTGTTCTGAGCATCAGTACTATCAATGAACTGGATATCCATTTATGTTTAAACCTGTCATGTTAATCAGTTAACTGGTAGTGTTAATATTTTGTGTGTAAAATGTTTTTTCCTTGAGTTGGTCATGTGAGGTTAAATAAACTACTTTTTTCTTATCACTTGGCATGCATCGTCATCTGTTAACTTTTACAAAAAGCTTCTCAGAATCTACAGGACCAATTTTGACTAAACTTGGCCACAATCATCATTGCGGTATCCAGTTTAAAAAATGTGTCTCAGATGACCTGGTCTGCCAAACAAGGTGGCCAACATGGCTAAAAATAGAACATAGGAGTAAAAGCTTTGTCTATTATGAAAACTGTTATAAAAAGGGAAAATTTGACAGAGGCACAAATGTTCAGAATGTTGAGCTCTAACAATTGTTTATTTATGATAAAACTGTCAGGGGACTTCTTATGGGATCCCGGAGTTATTGCCCATAAATGACAAATTTTACCATTTTTTTCATTTTTGCCTTTTACACTGTATTATCTGGAAAACTAAAATAGATACAGAGAAATTTTTATTGAAAAAGTGATCAGCAAGACAAGATCTACAAATAAGTGTGCATTTTCAAAATCATCAGTCAACTCCTTATTAGAGAACTTTATTGCAATTGATGATGATTTTTATCAATTTTTTGCATTTTTGCCTGATATCTTACAAATTATATTAGATAGATAGATCTACAATTAAAACTTTAATAGATAGATAGATCTACAATTAAAGACTATGTGGAAGAAATCGTCTGAAGACACCTTATTTTTTGCATTTTTGCCTGATATCTTACAAATTATATTAGATAGATAGATCTACAATTAAGGTAGCACAATACAAAGATTTTTTTACTTCCAATCTCCAACCTTTAAAATGATGTTACTTTCTTATGACTGCATCAAATTAATAAAGGAGGTATATATAGATAGATAAAAGATTAATCTTTTAAATGAATGCAATATTTTTGTTATGCAATCATTATGTGATCAATTATTATGTAATTAATGGCAAAATCTTGGTCAGTTCACTTGAATGAATTTAGCTCTGACATCTCTATAACTACACAAGAAATTTTAACGTTATCTTAATCAACACAGCAGGAGCTACAAAAGGGTGTCTCAAATTATTGCTATCGTATTCCATTCTCTCATAAATCTGTAATTAGTGTAAACATCCTTACCACATAAAAGTAGAGATTATTTGATTAGGTGTAAAATTTGATCTATACATTCTATCCAAAATCTGAGACACTTTTTGTAGATAATGGCTCTAGGAACAACATATTATAAAATCAACCCTCTCGGGGTATCCATGAAGAAGCTAATTTCAATTGAAAGTGGAAATTTCTTGTAAAATTGTGTAGACACAGTTAAAATTATAATTTACTACATAATTGTTGTATAATACTAACATTGCATTAATTTGAAAGAGTAATCTGTTAGCTATCCATAAATACCACTTTTATAAATTTTCAAGCATTATAAAGAAAGTTACAGCATTTTAAAACTGGGGAGTTGGAGGTATAAAATCTTTGTATTGTGCTACCTTAAGACTATAATAGATAGATAGATCTACAATTAAGACTATAATAGATAGATAGATCTACAATTAAGACTATAATAGATAGATAGATCTACAATTAAAGACTATGTGGAAGAAATCGTCTGAAGACTCCTTATTGGAGTTATTGCCCTTTAATGACTATTTTTATGCCCCCCGTAACTTAAAGTAACTCCTCCTACAGTTTGAATGTTAGGAAGTTTTCACTTTGCTGGCTGTTTGTATATATATTGAAGGTGTGCATGTGGTCAGGGTTTTGATTTTTATTGATATTTGCTCTTTTGGGAGATAGTTGAACTATATACTTAGTACCGCTTAAGTCGACGCTAGGGGCCGTCTTGACCTTGTTGTAGGGTATGAATGATTCGTTCATTGTTGAAGACCCTACATCAACTGCCAAGATGAAGAACAGGAATAAAAGCCCTGTTCAATGATAATTTTCTATGTTTTCTATGTATTGTGTGCGATTTTGTCCCATGTACATTTACTCCATATCCTTTCATTTTCTATTGCATAAGAGGTGCATAGCAATTTCAGATAACTTCTACAGTTTGAATGCTAGGAAGTTTTCACATTGCTGGCTGTTTGTACATATATTAAAGGTGTGCATGTAGTCAGGGTTTTGATTTTTATTGATATTTGCTCTTTTGGGAGACAGTTGAACTTTGTCATTTTTGGAGTACCAGGTATATTCTTGCATAAGAGGTGCATAGCGTTTCCGGATAACTCCTCCTACAGCGAACCATAGACCTATGTGCTCCCATGCTAATCTTTGTGTATTTTAAAATAGCACTTTGCATCTGCTGGGACATCATTTGTGTCTCCCCCACACAATTATATCTCAAAGAAAGTCCTACATTGACTTTGTTATAATACAGTTACTTCAGAGTGGAGTGCGTGGGCATCACTTTGTCTAGTTACCATTTTTTTGCATTTTGCCTTGTATGAAAAAAATTATTATAGACAAATAGACACTTCAAATCACAAAAATGATCAGCAAGGCAAGATCTACAGACAAGTCAAATTTTGTCAATATAGTTAATAGACTGTCACTCTTTATAGGAGTGATTGCCCTAAAATGAGGATTTATTTTAACCTCTTTTGTGTTTTGAGCAAAAGAAAAGAAGAAAGAGAGAAACTAAACAGACAAAACTATCAGCAATAAAATCAACAAAAAAGAAATTTTTGTCATGAATTCTATTCTTGTCTACAATGTTGGAGAGTGTCCTTTGTTGAATATGCACATAGACCTAGGTGAGCAAGACAGGCTCTTTGGAGCCTCTAGTTTAGTTTGGCCTTTTATAGAAGTATTTGAAGTAGCATATGAAAGTGTAAACCCAGTCAGGAGTTTCTTTGGTTTATTTTAAAATGTTAATATAAAGGATTGAAAAAAGGTCAGAATATCTCTGGAAAGCCATTTAATTATGAGAATATCTACCAACATCATATATATGCTATAATCAGACTTATAAAGTTATTCTTATTCCAGAGTCAGAAATGAAAAAGGCAAAAATTAAAGCTGATGAGGAATCTGTAAATGGTTTGTACTAAATAAGATATTTTGAATTTCATTTTTGTCGAGCATGTGACTTCAGTCACAGAAAACTCAACATAGGGATAGTGATCTGGGGGCGGCAGCGTTAAATAACTACTTAAAAGCTTAATATTTTAGAAGATGGAAGACCTGGATGCTTCATACTTTGTATATAGATGCCTTATGTTATGAAGTTTCCGTCTATCTTATGTCCATTGTTCTTGACCTCATTTTCATGGTTCAGTGACTACTTGAAAAAAAAAGTTGATTTTTTTGTCATGTTAACTTCTCTCTTATTATGAGTAATAGGATAACTATATTTGATATGTATGTACCTTGCAAGTTCCTCATGTTTGTCAGACAGTTTTCATCTGACCTCGACCTCATTTCATGGATCAGATACTCTGATACACAGATCATCTGTGAACAAGGTTAAGTTTTGGTGGTCAATCCATATATCAGATACTATAAGCAATAGGTCTTCTAATTTTGGTGTATGTAATGATTCTAAGATGTACATGTCCAACTGGCAGGTTTTATTTTACCTTTACCTCATTTTCACTGATCATTGCTCAGTGTTAAGTTTTTGTGTTTTGGTCTATTTTTTTAAAACTATAAGCAATAGGTCAACTATATTTGGTGTATGGAATGATTGTAAGTGGCCACAGACCACAATTAATTCCCCTATTAGTTCTTTATAACGTTTTGTCGCATTAAAAAAATTTACCTGCTTTTTTTGTCAAATCTTTTGTGTGTGTAAAGTACAGTACAAGTCAAAAAATATATCCAACTTTCAGAAAAATTGCATGTTTACATCTTACAAATTTAGCCAATACACATCCATACCCCTATAGACAAGTCAAGAGATGTTTTGAAAACTGTAAATATTACCTTTTTGCATCTGGCCTAATCACTCTTTCCATATCAAAATCAGTTAAAATAAAACATCCAAAAAATTATTTGAGCTCTCTTCTTTCATTTTCACCCCATAAAAAGTAAGAAATGTATGAGAAAGGGAAAGAAAAAAAATAAAGAAAAAATACACTTTATTAAAGGGAACTATATTCGTGGACAACGAACAGCGGGATCATTAATTGTGGTCTGGGGCCTATTAGGGGTCAAAAACTTCACCAATTCCAATAAAACTTGGAATGATTTAAGCTTAGTGTATTATGAGACAGTTTACCAAGTTTCAAAGCCATATGATATCAATAATAGAAAATGTGGCCTTTTTTATATCTGAACTTTGGTTGCTGAATTGTGACGTTGAAATAGAACAATTTCAACTATCAAAGTTTGGCAACAAAAAACAAAAATGTGCACTTTTTAATGTCTCTATGTATACGATATTATCTATTTAAAGTAATAGATAGCATACTGAATGTATCAGACTTATAAAAATTGGCAAAAAGTTAATTTTATATGAGCCTGTGCCAAAAAATAAGAGGTTTTCAAATGAAGCGAGGCCTTATATGAAATGTAATATTTTCCACTTGCAACAATTTTCTGAAGTTGTTAAGTTAAAAAAAAACCTTCTACATATCATAAATGTACTTTTCATGGAAATATAAGTTTCAAATAGCATAACACATGAGGATGACATGGTCTTGAGCAATGTCAAGCTAAAAAAAACAAGTTGTCAATTTAGGCCGTTCCCCACATTTCCATATTAAAAAGCATATAAATGATATGGGAGATGGAAATATGCTTCTTTTTGCTCAAATCCTTGCTTAGATATGATGAAACATGAAGCCTGGATGTAACAAGACTGTTGCTTTCAACTATATATGTAGACAGTATAGTCTGATGCAAAGTTTATTCACTTTACTGTTTAAAACCTGCATGAAATTTCAGCCTCAAAAGGTCAATATTTTAACCACTAGCTATCCAACAGAAGAAATTAAAGGTAGTCTGTGAAACAGACAAGGTAAAACAACCAGTAATAAGTGCTTTTGATACAGATTCAATGAAATCTGTTTAAAGGAATTCAACTTTTATGTGCAAAGAACCTTACATTTCACTTGCTTCGTACGGACTGTTAGACTTAAACCATTAAAACAGCACATTTTGCCCACTTTTTATGTTTTTATCTACTTTTCTTTGTGTTCAGAGTTCACAAATGAGTAAAACATCTAAATTAAATACCACAAAGACAAATAGAAAATCAGAAAAATCTGTCAGAGAGAAAGTAAGCATGCTACTTTTGTAAAAATATTGAAACAAGTGAAAAAGCTACATTTCGGGCATATTAGCTGAAAAGTGACTTTTTTTGCAAAATTCTATCAAATAAAGGTGAAAATCATTTATTCTCATGTAGTTTGACAAATTAATTCCAATAGATCATTCAGAGAAGTAGTCAAAGTACAAATTCAAAATTTGCTGAAATGCACCTCTTAGGCCACAGACCACAATTAATTCCCCTATTAGTTCTTTATAACGTTTTGTCGCATTAAAAAAAATTTACCTGCTTTTTTTGTCAAATCTTTTGTGTGTGTAAAGTACAGTACAAGTCAAAAAATATATCCAACTTTCAGAAAAATTGCATGTTTACATCTTACAAATTTAGCCAATACACATCCATACCCCTATAGACAAGTCAAGAGATGTTCCGAAAACTGTAAATATTACCTTTTTGCACCTGGCCTAATCACTCTTTCCATATCAAAATCAGTTAAAATAAAACATCCAAAAATTTATTTCAGCTCTCTTCTTTCATTTCCACCCCATAAAAAGTAAGAAATGTATGAGAAAGGGAAAGAAAAAAATAAAGAAAAAAAATACACTTTAATTAAAGGGAACTATATTCGTGGACTTTGAACAGCGGGATCATTAATTGTGGTCTGGGACCAAATCATACATATCCAACTGGAAGGTGTCATCTGACCTTGATCTTATTTTCATGGTTCAGTGGGTAAAGTTAAGTTTTTGTATTTTGGTCTTTTTTTTCTAATACTATATGCAAAAGGTCAACTATAGTTGGTGTATGGAAAAATTTTACGATGTACATGTCAGTCTGCCAGGTTTTATATGACCTTGACCTCATTTTCACAGTTCATTGCTCATTGCTTAGTGTAAAATTTTTGTGTTTTGGTCTATTTTTCTTTAACTATAAGCAACAGGTCAACTATATTTGGTGTATGGAATGATTGTAAGGTGTACATATCCAACTGGCAGGTGACATCTGACCTTGACCTCATTTTCATGGTTCAGTGAGTAAAGTTAAGTTTTTGTGTTTTGGTCTTTTTTTTTCTAATATTATATGCAATAGGTCAACTATATTTGGTGTATGAAAATATTTTACGATGTACAGGTCAGTCTGGCAGGTTTTATTTGACCGTGACCTCATTTTCGTGGTTCAATGCTCAGTGTTAATTTTTTGTATTTTGGTCTGTTTTTATTTAACTATAAGCAAAAGCTCAACTATAAGCTATAGGTCAACTATATGTGGTGTATGTAATGATTGTAAGGTGTACATGTCCAATTGCAGGTGACATCTGACCTTGACCTCATTTTCATGATTCAGTGGGTAAAGTTAAGTTTTTGTGTTTTGGTCTTTTTTTTTCTTATACTTTTGCAATAGGTCAACTTATTTGGTGTATGGAATGATTGTAATGTGTATATGCAGGTATCATCTGACCTTGACCTCATTTTCATGGTTCATTGGTCAATGTTAAACTTGCATGGTTAAGCTTGTTTCTTAGAAACTATAAGCAATAGGTTAACTATGTGTATGGAATGATTGTAAGGTGTACATGTCTGTCTGGCATGGTTCATCTGACCATGACCTCATTTTCATAGTACTTTGGTCAATGTTAAATTTTCCTGGTTAAGTTTGTTTCTTAGATAGGTTAACTATGTGTATGGAATGATTGTAAGGTTTACATGCATTTCAAGTTTGGTTTTCTGACCTTGGCCTCATTTTCTTGGATCATGTTAAGTTAATGTGATATTTGTAGTAAAGCTTTATATTTAGGACTATCAACATAAAATCAATGATCAGTAAAGCGAGACATTTCAGTGTGTGCACTCTTGTTATAAGAACTAATGAATCAGAGTTAACCCATGTTTAGAATGTCTTCTAGCTCTTTATAGATCTAGATCTTAATAATATGTAAACATCTTACTATTACTTTAAATTCAGAAAATTTTGTGTGCATTTATTTTTGCCATTGTTAAACTATGGTTAGATATGTGAGGTGAATTATTGCAATAATTTCAGGAATAGTGCGTATAGATAATGCTATGAAAATTAAAATAAAAGTGTGCCAAAACCTTTCCCATCCTCTTTTTCACGAAAATTGAAACTAAGTAAAAATTTCTGAATTAACAGTAGATCTGTCGAAAGTATTATGACACTAATAAGATGGGGATATTTTTTATCTTTTTTTTTTATACTGGAAAGACACCATTCCATAAGGTCTGTCAATTTTTTATGCAGATGTTTTATACCATATGCGGAAAAATACAAATTAAAAAAAAACTAAGGTCTAAGGAACAAACAAAAAATTTGCAAAGGACAATGATAGATAAGTATGGCTAAATGAAAAGACCAAAGGTAAACAAAAAGCTAAAAATTGATCATCAGGAAGCCTGCTGAATAGGTTTGTTCTCAGGTGTAGATGAGTAATTAATTGTAGAATTTCTGTTGAGATCCAATTGTCAGACCCAACAGTAAAATTTGTGAAGTGGTATTTGATTCCAGCACTTACTCCTTGCTAACTCTTTAATTTTTACTATCAGATTTTTAACTGTATAATACTGGTATAATATAGAATTGGCTTCCTTATCTTATGCATTAGCATTGGCACATCTTATTTTCTTGGCGATTATTTGGCCCAGCCTCCTCAGTCATGGACATAGTTTACATGTTAGAGTTTTTAATTGAATCAGATAAAAATGAACCACTAATAGTAAGTCAATGATATTTGGATAGCAGTTGTATCTCATATCCATTGAGATTATATGGCCCCACCACCTCATAATGGTTCAAAAAACGATGAAAGCTTATGCATAGTTTAAATATTGAAGTTTGTGTTTAGGTCAGTTTAACCACTTGTGATAAGTCAATACAGTAGTACATGTAAAAGTATTTGGATTCTTCTAAAAATATTGTATTAACATTTTGTATTTCTCATTTCAATGGTAGTTATTTGGCCTTGCCCTTTAAGTATGATTCATTAACTTTGAATGTTTTGTATTATAGTTACATGTTAAAGTATTGCCATTTCAATTTCAACATTTGCATGATACTATTAAAATTACATATTTAGTTTATATATATATAGTGATATCGAAAATCCTGGTGTTATTATTTTTCAGTAATATAGAGATTTCCTTCGTTAAAATCAATTTTCTTGTTACATACACAAGCGATTCAGACAAGTTGAGATTTATAAACACCATACCATGCCAAGGGAACATCACCATCTAAAAACGGATAATTAACAATGGGTAATGAAAAATCATCTCTTTTATGATAAATTCAGTCATTATTGAGAGTCGAAATATCATCCAAATATCTAAAAGTGTTATTAAATTTTTGTATCAGATTTTATTTCGGTGGGTTTTTGCTGATTTTAGACATAAATTGTGAAATAGTTCAACTTACATTGACACCATTTTTATACTTCACTAATTGATAGTGTGTTTTTTTGATTCGTAAGAGCCTTTGTCTGATCCTCAAACTGTTTTGATTTGAACCCCAATAATGAGTTTTATGTAGCAAAAGTATTTTCTGGTGTACCAACTTATAAGTCTGTTTTTTTTTTTAAATTATGACTTTTTATAAATTCCTATTTTGAACTAAGTCAACTCAGCATTATCTAACTTTTTTTAAACAGAGAAAAGGGAGACCACAGCAGAGAATTATTAGACTACCTACAAGATGATAAATAATATATACAGAAAAATAGCAATCTATATTTTAGGGATGTTCACACTAAGGGGATGTAAATACCACGCCTGTATAAAATCAGATGTTTTACACATGAACAATGTACATTTTACATACATTATTACTGCATAAAACAGGTGCTGAATGTACGTTATAACATTTTAAGTTCTAAAAACATGCATGTCATTGATGGAAAATTGATATCCAATAATTTTCATTCTAGACTTACATTTAATCTGTTATATGTATGTTTTACGTATGGTTGCCATGCATATAGCATCCGCTGCATAACATACCTTTTTTATCCCTGATCATTACCACTTCATTTTGTACAGGTAAAGTACATAGCTGTTTTACCTGCATAGTCATTTAAAAATTGAGTTTAATTGACAATGAAAGATGAACTGTGCTGAAAATGTACAAGAAGAAAACGAATTTATTGATTTGATACTGTCATCCCTGTTTATTCATGATTATAGAATGTTCAATTGATACGGAAACAGAAGAAGGTTTGATAGATACTAAGAAAACCCAGATTTTAATACCTCAATGGAAGAAGGAAATGGAGAGGATAGATAAAGAAATTAGAACTGGCCATATTGTTGTTAGAAAATTAGAGAATGCAAAGGTACAGTTAAATTTGATTAATTTTTGTCCCCTGCCATGCTTACCAAGGGGCATATGGTAATAGTATCCATCAGTCTGTCTGTGTATAAAACTGTCCTGCAGAAAAGAAAACTTTGTTAAATAAAAAAAAAATTTGTTGCTGTGTATCATATTTTTGTTCATTTATTGATTTGAACAGTTTGTTCTTGTCTTGTGCTGTTGCACAACTGTCCCAGATTTCGGGATATGTTAACATGTTCAACCCTGTAATATTCTGTATGTGCCTGTCCCAAGTCAAGAGCCTGTTATTCATAGCTATAGGTAAAAATTTGTCATTTATTACTGCATATCATATTTGTTTTTTTGTTTTTTGTTTTGTATATAAATCTGACCTATGGTTTTCTCATTTAAATTGTTTACATTTCTTTATGTAGAGGCCTATAAAGCTTGCTCTGCATTATGGGTTTTGCTCATTGTTGCAGACCCTATGGTGACTTATACCTACTAACATCTTCACAATTTCGTCTCTGTTGGAGAGTTGTCTCATTGGTAATCATGCCACATCTCCTTATCGAATATTGTTTACATATATAAAGGATGCAACATGAGGAACAGGATCTGCTTAACTTTCCAGAGCACCAGAGATCACCCAACGATTTTTGGTGGAGTCTAGTTTTTTTGTGTGGTTTGTAGACTGACTGTTTGTCTTTTGGTCGTTTTTTGTTTTTCTCTAGCTTCCATTCAACTGATTTCACTGTTGTCTTTCTCTTCCAGAGTTATGCCCCTTGATATAGCAGAAAAAAAATATTTGGTTTCCACTTGACATGCTTGCATGATTACTTGAGTAAGCCTCTACCAAATAATTTGAAATTTGGAAATATTGCTAGGAAACACTAAACTCAGATTCATTTTAAATTTAACTAATTTCATCTTGTATGGCTTTTCATCGTTATGCCCCTTGATGAACAGTCAAGGGCATCAACGAAAACAGTTAAATTTAAGATAACAAGTTTTAGCTAGTATATTGAGTTAGAGCCTTGTTTTAAACGTTTTCTAATTTGTGTTATATTTGACAAATTTTCTAATGTGGTCAATACTTGATTTCAATTTTTTCAGTTACATAGATTTTCCTATATAAACCAAGAACTGTCCCATGTGGACTGACCCTTCATATATTTAAATTACCAATAACTTTCCATGCACATTGTACTCTAAATAACAACACCCTTGGGTTATTTAAGTTTTGGATCATTATCTTTAAGAACTTGTAAATAACTGTTTTTAATGATGAGCCCTTGACTGATTAAGTGAAAAATAACAATTTGTTTTAGTTTGCCCACATTAACATAAGCCTGCACCTTGAAAATGATGTTTTAGGGACCCCTAAAATCTATATAAATTAAGTTTGACCTGGTTCACTTTTTTGTTCATATATAATACTCCTTGATGAATAGAAAAATAGGTTTTCCCATCACTTGGTGTTCAGCATTGTTGCCTGTTAACTTTTACAACTTCTCCTCTGAAACTACTGGATTAAAGTAGTAGCTAGGGCCATTAAGGCCTAGTTTTGGCCCCCCTTTCCAAATAAAAGTGTTTGAGAACTACTTCAAATTTGCACGAAATGCAAAAAATTAGGAAATTTAAATGAATTACATAAGTTTTTTGTTGTTATGATGTCATAATATGCACCATTTTCATGAAAACAAAGATAACTGCACAGTTTATGTAGTTTTCCATCATAATTTCCATTGTGGATACATCCTGTGCAGTCAAGAAACAACAAAATAATTAAAAGGGGTACCCAACACTATACCTCCCAAAAAAACCTGTCATTTAATTTTTCTTGTTTTTCTCTCATTGATAAACTTGGCCTAGCTTAACATCTTATAAAAATTTCAAAAGATTTGATCCATTGGTTTAAAAGATTTGGCAACTCAAATATGGCATCTTTTACATGCTAATATCGGCCAAGCTTGAAGTTTCGGAAATATGGGTATAGGGGTATATATGTTAATATTTTTTAAAATTAGTTCTTAAAATTGACAATAGCATAGTTTAAAGTGATAACTGAGGCGAATTTTAGTTCACTGATACCTTTTACTTGTAAGTTTTTTATTCTGGATTTAAATTTTTGTCTGAACGTTTAAAAGGGGGTCTCAGATTCAGCCCCCAAAAATTACTATGATGAGTCACGTATTTGAAGAATTTTTTTTTTTTATAATGTGTCGTTTAATTTTTTTTTAAACTAAACATTTGTAGTGCTATTTCAGTCTGTTATTCTTACAAAAATTTATGAAAATTTAACCTACAGATTTTTTCTATTAAAGGTTAAAATATACCCCCACCCTCAATAAATAAGAGCAAGATCCATTCTGATACGTTCGGGTATTTCACATCCAATCTTTTATGGTAATATTCTTTACAAAGCACAAAAATGTAAGTATTCACCTCAAAAGCTAACAAAACCTTTAAACAGACTTATTAAGAAGGGATATAGTTACGATACTGTTGTCAGGTCATTAAAGATTGCATATTTTGGCTTTAATATTGATTCACTTATAGGGTCTTTGCATCGGAATTAAACATATTTATTCTAAAACCAGTTGTTGGCATGACATGGGTTATGTTCTTCTCATATATTTTATGATGGTATAATACTAAACCCCTAACAGGAGGGATTGTGCCTGATATTCATATGCTGAAGACATAATCTTTCATTCAGTTTAATTGTGGTCTGGAGCTGGCATGTCAGTAACTGCTAGTAGTCTATTGTTATTTATGTATTATTGTGATTTTGTTTATTTTCTTTTGTTTCCTATTCTGACATCGGACTCGGACCACTCTTAAACTGAGTTTTACTGTGCGTACTGTTGTGCGTTTGTTTTTTCTACATTGGCTAGAGGTATAGGGGGAGGGTTGAGATCTCAAAAAACATGTTTAACCCCGCAGCGTTTTTGCGCCTGTCCCAAGTCAGGAGCCTCTGGCCTTTGTTAGTCTTGTATCATTTTTAATTTTAGTTTCTTGTGTATAATTTGGAGTTTAGTATGACGTCCATTATCACTGAACTAGTATACATATTTGTTAAGGGGCCAGCTGAGGGACGCCTCCTGTTTCTCACTGCATTGAAGACCCATTGGTGGCCTTCGGCTGTTGTCTGCTCTATGGTCGGGTTGTTGTCTCTTTGACACATTCCCCATTTCCATTCTCAATTTTATAAAAGTACATATGGGCAAAACTTTTTTGTCTTTTGATCTAGGCCTTAGATATTTGGCATGTGGATGTATCTGCATGAGGTTAAATGTGTTGTATCATGATGACCTTCACATTTGACCTCAAGGTCAACTTAATGTATTTTTTCGCAAGAAAAACGACCAGGAAATAACTTTTTCGTCTTTTGACCTAGGCCTTACATCTTTGGTGCCGCCTTACAATTATGACCATCATGTGGCCTTGAACTTTGACCTCGAGGACGATAAATGTATTTTTGGCACAAAACACTTGATCAGGCCATGACTTGTTGTCTTTTGACCTAGGCTTGAGATATTTGGCATGTTAATTGAATTCAGTTGAATTCAAAGTTTTAATTAGAGTGGATATGAAGTAAACAAATACATATTACACAAGCACTTATGAGCTATTCAAATCAACAATACAACAATATAGACACACATTATGACTTGTCAACAAATTCCATGTATACAAAATACATAAATTATCTGTTATCAAGACAAAAATCCATGTAGTTCCATAAAAATTTCAAAAAAGGCATAGTTTCTATTAAGGCTAGGTGTACGTACTTAACTACTCCACAGAATTTTTTTAATTTCACATACGGATTCTGCTTGTAAAAGTACACCAGAAAATAAAATTAAAATGGGGGTAACCATTTTCATTTTTGAGAAATGAGCTCTTGAAATTAACAGTATGAGATGCCAAAAATACAAGGGATACATAGGGAAAATCTTAAAAATCAGAAGATATTTTTTTACATTATCAAGATCTTTAAATTTTGTTGGTCCACAGATATTTAAAAAAAAAATGATATACGAGATTCAAAAATGAACAATGAATCCATTGGTGCAAAGAACCACTGCTCCTGAAAATTTGAACTAGGTGGTTGAATAGATCTGACCAGTGGTCTCGTTAGCCCAAAATAGAAGGGCGCCCCGCCCTTGGTGCCATCAGCCTCGCCCTTCTGCCCTGATGCCTTGTTCCATAATGCCCTTCTGCCGTTTTGACAATGTACTATAAAAATTGCATTTTGTGTCATCGATTTCCTATCAGAATATCAATTATATTCATGACCATGATGATTGCCCCGAGGTTAATCATGTCATTATAATCAATTACAGTAGATAAGACTTCTAAGGTGTTAATTACTAGGTAATTTAAACAATTTACCTTGTTGTCAACATCATAATTAGTCCCCTACCGATGAAGTCGAAGGGGACTTTAGGTTTGCACTCCGTCCGTCTGTCCTTCTGTCAGTCCAGCAAATCAGTTTTCCACACTTTTTTAACTGGATTTTCGAAGGAAATATCGGTTATTAAAATGGTGATATACGGCGAGCGGCTGGGCTGTTCTACGGGCGGCTGCCAAACAGTGTCAGCACAATAACACGAAAACGCTTTAACAAATTTTTTTCAAATTTAAATATGTTGTTTCCTGGGACTTAATGAAGGTCTCTATTAATTTTCAAGATTTTAGTATATCTCCTTTGTGAGTTATCGCCATTTTTAATATCCAAAAGTAGAATTTTTAAATATTTTACTGTTGTTATCATGTTATGATTTGTCTTTTCTCAGAATAAAAATTGGAGTGACAGATTTATTTGAAAATTATCTATTTCCTAAGTGGTAATGATTATAAGCTATATCATTAGACATTATTAATTATGTTAGAGTACTATGTTAAACAACCATAGTTCTGTTCAATTAGATATTATAAATATTTTACATTTCAAATAAAATAATATAGAATTTAAAAAAAAAAAAAAGGGTTTTGGAAAACTTGTAAACGGTT